AAGTGACAGAAACATAAAAACTCGGAGGTCCGCGCGGACTTCTCGGATCGGCGCTGGACCCCCCTCCCTGGCGCGCGGAGCACGCCAGGGGCGGCGCCAGAGGCGCCGCCGGGGGGGCCCAGCGCGGATCCGAGAAATCCGCGCGGACCTCCGAGTTGTTATGTTTATGTCACTTGTTGGTTCCCTATGTATGCCGATTCCTTTCCCTCGAGCTCCGCCGCGCGAGCACCCTCCGCACCTCGTCGCTGGTCGGCGGCAGCAGGCGCGACGTGGAGCCCGCCTCGCCCTCCTCCGCGCGGCGCCGCGTGGCCGCGGAGCGTACGGCGCCCGACTCCACGGCCATCTCGCCGAGCAGGCCCTGGAGCACAGAAGTCTTGCCCTGGCCCGCGCTGCCCACGACGACCAGCACCTGCGGTACGACCGACGCGGGCGCGGAGAGAAAAGGGAGAACTACGAGGGCCGCCAGCGATGCCTGCGCATCCTGAGCAGGACTTCGTGTCCGTGTCGCCGCGGACGTCGTGCGCTCGAGGCAGGAGGCCGCCTGCCCAACCGCGGCCGCTGTCGCTTGCGGACAACATTGGTGGCTGGGCACCGTGCCGATGTTGTTATCAATACCCAGTCTGGGGGAACGAACAAGTAAGTACCGATACCGCTACTCCTCGGACCTCTCCCGGGGTGCGCTCGCGAAGGGTATGGGTACCTTCCCTCCTCGGAATATGTTTCCCCCTGCCCAGCTCGGGATCCACCACAGGGGGGGGACCCTGAAAGGGGTGGGGGCATGAGTTGCATCCGTCGGTGCCCCGAACTGCCGCAGACAGATGCCCCCCACATGCCCCACCTATCGGCAACTATCGGGAGCTGCCTGCGACTGGGGGTTCTCTGTTTGTTGGGCGTTGGGCGGTCCGGTGCAAAAACCGATCGAACTCACACTCTCCCCGGGCCCCCCCCCTTTGCGGGATCCCGACACATCGGCGATGCATCGGCGATGCGTCGCGATCCTTCGACCCCATCTACTCTGGGGAAACCATCAAGAGGCACAGATACCGCTAACTACTCCCCGGACCTCCCAGGGTGCGTTCTGACCAGGATGCCGAGGCAAAACTAGCGGTGGCGACGCGGGCCTCCCAGGAGGCCCGGAAAAGGGGGAAGCCAGGGCAGGGTAGTGCCTCTTCCTCCTCTGACACTCGGACCCCCTCTCGGCGGTGGACAAACCTCCCTTTAGTAAACCTCCCCTGAGTGAAAACGGCCTGGGACCGAAACCGACGGACCTGGACCCGCAAAAGTGACGGCCGCGACGCCCTCTCGCGAACCGAAAATGGCCAATTCCTTAATCGACGTGTCAGGGTAGGAGGTCTGTCCACCCCCGACCCTCTAGGAGGCCTAGGCCTACCCTTTCCCGCCCAGGAGCACCTGGCCCGGGCCCACCTGGACGTCCAGCCCCTGCAGCCGGAACCGCTCCTCCTCCATACGCGCCAGCAGCGGCCGGTGGGCCTCGGCGAGCCCCTCCTCCTCGGTCGGCGCGGGCGCGGCCAGCGGGGGGGGACCGCAGAGCAGGAGGGGCGAAAAGCCTCCTCGAAATCAGGCGCCGCGTCGAGGACGGGGCAGGGAGGACGGAGGATGGAGATAATAATAAGAAGAAGAAGAATAGTAATAATAATGATAATAATAATAATAATAATGATAATAATAAAAATGACAATAATAATAATAATCATAATAATAATAATAATACTAATAATAATAATACTAATAATGACTCATAAGAGCGATCCCACGACAGCCTGTTAGATCAGCCAGAGAGGAAGATTCCAGCACAAGGGCTCGTACGCTCAGAGAAGCGCGACTGTAGTGGGGGGTGACACGAGCGAACGCCCACCGACGACAGAGCACACAAGCCCGACGGGGAGGATGAGTCGGTGGATGAGGGGGGAAAGGACTGAGACCGAGGGGGTCTGGACGGAGAAACGCGGGGAAGGATCGGTGGAAGAGTCGTCAGCTGATGTGGCTTGCGCATGGCGCCTGTAATCCTACAGCCATCCTCGAAATCAATCGCAAGTTTCCCGTACTGGTCGACGTGCGAAAACGAGACCCACGGGGTCAGAATTTCGTGTTTAGTCGCCAATTTGGGCACGTGCGCGGAGATTTGGGGATCCTATTGGGCGCCGCCGCGTCGCGGGCCAAACCTGCGTTTGATTTCGAGGGGGAATGTAGAAACCGCTTTTTATGGAAGGGGCCCAGGGGCACAGCCCAGGATTCCACACATTCTCCATGTCTCCTGGAGAGGCGTCTCCCCTCTCCACTCCCCATATTTTCCAGCCAGCTTCCGAGGGACCGACGATGATCTGTGCCTGTGTGTGTGTCTCTCTCCCTCCTGGTTTCTCCGACTGGGGAGGGGAGGGGACGGCCGACAAGCCAACCTCTTCGGCTTGGAGGCAGCCCCCACGCATGCCCGCGCACACCAGCACTGCGCACCGCCGTCGGACCTGCGCCACCGACAGGGTCACGCGATCGAAGGGAGGGCGCGGGCGGACCCGGACCTCCGGCTGCTCCAGTGTTCTCGATGCGTACTCCAGATTTCGTAATAGAGGGAGGGGGGTCTCATTTCGGGGGGGGTGCTCTTCCAGGCTGTCTTGGAGGGGCTGGGGGGTCTGGGGACGATGTTTTGGAGGGTTCTCCCACGGGGGAGGTCTGATATGGCTTGTCTTGGAGGGTCCAGACCCCCTCCCTTTTATTACGAACTCTGGAGTAGGCCCCAGAGGTCAGGTCGACCACTTTCCCGGGACCGGTATGTTTGTCGTGAGTCGTTGTTTGACGCTCCCGAGGCCTGGCGAGGGCCCCGGGATGCCGAAAGGGACCCCGAACCGCCTGCTCAAATTTTTGCTGGAGCAGCGGATCTCAGGGGACCCGATAACCCGGGTCATCGCTGAAGGAACAGTCTCCAGCTGGCTGCTCCTGGCGCCAGAGGTGCCAGCATGTATCGAGGAACGCGCCTGGCGGCGGGGCCGAAACCGGCTGCATGCAGCATCTTTGGCCCCCCTCTTCCCACCCGCCCCATTCCCCAGGGTCCGACGTCACGAAACAAGTACAACATTGCAGTGATCACATCCAGATCCCTAGACCCGATCCTTCTGAATCCTGGTTGTGGCCAGACCGATGAGTGAGGATCCACGGGTCCGAAACACGGCAAGATGGCTGGGTGCGGAAACCTACCCCAGCAAAGCACGCAGCAGCAAAGGGGGAAGAGGCGAACCCGAGGAGCACGCGTGGACAAACGGGCAGCTACACAGGGATGCCTACATACAGGAGCGCTGACAGGCGGAGCGAGGGTGAGAGCTCGGCCGTGCGCACCGTCTGGCTGTACAGATCTGCTACCAGGGGTCGTGGCCGTCCGGACCACACGTGTAGCCCGGCATTGACGGGCGCGAGCACGATGCTTGCACAAAGAAAGCACAGAAGAAGTCCCGAGCGGTACGTCGGGCATGTCCTCCTGCAGGCGGATGTTGGAAGAAAGCCGTATAAAGCACAGTCACAAATAATCAACCATAGTCCAGAGAGCATGAGGAAGCGTCATGTGATTGTTTGTTTTACGAGTCTTGGATATACTTCTCCTGTAGAGGGCATACCCGCCTTACAACTCAAGCGATGCGGTATGACACGGTTGCCGCGCCGGGCGGTCTGGGGAGGCGGTCTCGGGCTATCCCCGCCCGCCTAATGATGGACTCTTCCGTGCTCGTTCTCTCGGGGGGACGTAAGGACTCGGGCACGGGGGGCTCGGGTTGGCCTGACGGGGCGATCATGAAAATGATAGGAACCTATCTGAAATTTGACGCGAGCTCCCGCTGCAAACACTCGTTCGGGGAGACGTAAGACTCGGGCACAGGGGGACTCGGGTTGGCCTGACGGGGCCATCATGGAAATGACGAGAACCAATCTGAAACTTGACATGAGCTCCCGATGCAGACATCTCACGAAAACCAGACCGTTAAAAGCTAGGACGCGCTCGTCAAAAAACCTCGGCAAACGCCGAGCTCCGGCTTACTCGAGTCTTACGTCTCCCCGATCCTTTACCACGATGAGAACCCTCTAGCGAAACGCTAGAAGGAAATTGCAGCCTCGTTTTTTTTTGTTTCCCAACCATCCTGTGGTGTTGGGTCCTCGTTTTGAAGAAACGGTCCCCGCGTTCCTTCTTCCTCCTTCTCCTCGCCCTCCTCCCTCCTGCGTTCGCATGCCTCCCCACCATCCATTTCGGCACACCCCTCACACGCTTCGTGGCCCCATAGGCAGCTCCACCGAAGGCCCCAGTGGCTGCGTTCGCATGCCTCCCCACCACCCATTTCGGCACACCCCTCACACGTTTCGTGGCCCCATAGGGAGCTCCACCGAAGGCCCCAGTGGCTGCGTTCGCATGCCTCCCCACCACCCATTTCGGCACACCCCTCACACGTTTCGTGGCCCCATAGGGAGCTCCACCGAAGGCCCCAGTGGCTGCGTTCGCATGCCTCCCCACCACCCATTTCGGCACACCCCTCACACGTTTCGTGGCCCCATAGGGAGCTCCACCGAAGGCCCCAGTGGCTGCGTTCGCATGCCTCCCCACCACCCATTTCGGCACACCCCTCACACGTTTCGTGGCCCCATAGGGAGCTCCACCAGGCCCCAATGCGTCCCGCACACCCATTTCGGCACACCCCTCACACGTTTCGTGGCCCCACAGGGAGCTCCACCGAAGGCCCCAGTGGCTGCCGTCCGCATGCGTCCCCACACCCATTTCGGCACACCCCTCACACGTTTCGTGGCCCCATAGGGAGCTCCACCGAAGGCCCCAGTGGCTGCGTCGCATGCCTCCCCACCACCCATTTCGGCACACCCCTCACACGTTTCGTGGCCCCATAGGGAGCTCCACCGAAGGCCCCATGGCTGCGTTCGCATGCCTCCCCACCACCCATTTCGGCACACCCCTCACACGTTTCGTGGCCCCATAGGGAGCTCCACCGAAGGCCCCAGTGGCTGCGTTCGCATGCCTCCCCACCACCATTTCGGCACACCCCTCACACGTTTCGTGGCCCCATAGGGAGCTCCACCGAAGGCCCCAGTGGCTGCGTTCGCATGCCTCCCCACCACCCATTTCGGCACACCCCTCACACGTTTCGTGGCCCCATAGGGAGCTCCACCGAAGGCCCCAGTGGCTGCGTCGCATGCCTCCCCACCACCCATTTCGGCACACCCCTCACACGTTTCGTGGCCCCATAGGGAGCTCCACCGAAGGCCCCAGTGGCTGCGTTCGCATGCCTCCCCACCACCCATTTCGGCACACCCCTCACACGTTTCGTGGCCCCATAGGCATGCCTCCACCCCGCTCACAGGCCCCATAGGAGCTCCACCGAAGGCCCCAGTGGCAGGGTTCGCATGCCTCCCCACCACCCATTTCGGCACTCCCCAACACCCATTTCGGCACACCCCTCACACGTTTCGTGGCCCCATAGGGATCTCCACCGAAGGTCGGGGGGAGCTTGACACTGGTATCCTTGCGGTACTCGCAGCTGCCTATGGTTGGGTCCTTCGCCAGGCTAATTAGAAACCCTAGACCAGATCTTTCTGCGCCATTTTTGGTCCGGAACGATGCGTGAGAGTCTCGGGGCCCGCAGCGAGGCAAGCGGCCATTGTGAAACAAATGCGAAGCCAGAATCCCCAGACCCCCGACGCCATGATTCTTTCAGAACGTCGACCCAGAAGTATCGACGCATTCCCCAAGACTGTTTTTTCATCACGAGTCGTGTTCTGACAGTTCCGAGGCCCGGTAAGGGCCCATAAAATCCTAAGATCAGACGCAACTAAAAAAATACCACATCATAAAAAATCCCCCCCAGAGCCTTAGACCCCATCTTTCTGAGTTATTTCTCGGGGGGGGGGGGGGGAAAACGCCAGGCTCGAAAAAAATGCAACGCCAGGGTCTCAAGGAAGGCTGAACTTAGCGGAACACCTTCCGTCGTGATTTTCTCACGACTCGGAGGGGGCCTGGACCTCTTGAGCAGGGTCCGACCGTCCCGGCATTCCTGTAGGCCTACCACGACACGTTTTTAGAACACAAACAAGTTCTAAAAGCAAAGCAATGTTCTTAGAACATCACACCGATGAGTCAAAACAAGACAGTCTCGCCAGCCATGTTCTACGATAACTTCGTAGAAACCGCACAAGGTTCCTAGAACATGCTCTGGTGGGCCCATAGGCGAGCCAGGCCGCTTCGCCACTGCTTGAAGGGTTCGCCCAACGTAGGGCGACGAGAACTATACATATCCACTGCTCCCTGGCCAGGCCCGTCCTGAACCCAGCAGCTGTGTATACGCTCTCCTAGCCAAGCCAGGAGGGCGTGGCGTATGCACCGCTGCCGGGTTCAGGACGGGCCTGGTCGGGGAGCAATGTGCGTATATATAATAATAAACAAATAAATAAATACATAAATAAATAAATAAATAAATAGATAACTAAGAAAATAAATAAATAAATATATAAATAAATAAATAAATAAATAAATAACTAAAACAAAAATAAAATAAAAAATAAATACATAAATATATGTACAAACCGCAGACATGCGACGTCCTGATTTGTTCAAGACGGCGCCCCTGTAAGTCCCGACCCGTTCCCCGAGAGCGGTTCTTCGTCCCGAGTCGTTTTTGCCTGTCTCGAGGCCAGGCGAGGGCCCCCCGGGGCCGAACATGGTGAACAAAAACTGGCCGTCCTGATATTTTTTCCAACGACACGATCACGTCTGGGACCTCGCCGCCCTGCGACGCACTCCTCGTCGGCGGGGGCCGCCGCGGCGCCCTCGGCGTCGGCGGCGGGCGCGCCCCAGGAGAGCGTGCAGGCCTCGTATTCTGTCGGGCGTGTCCCCCTACAGGGGGAGTTTGGACGAAAAATGAAACATACCCCAAAAATACCCCAGAAAGGCTCAAACATAATCCAGAAATAGTCCCCAGACTATCTTTTGATGCTTGTTTGACTATTTGTAGGGTATTTTTTATGCTTCGTCGAAAATCCCCCTGGAGGGGGACAGGCCCGACTGCAGCCTCGTAGGCGGCGACCGGGGCGCCCCCGCCCAGGGGCGCGGCGGGCGGCCGCGCAGCCTGGGCGGGGCGGCCCGGCGGCGGCCAGATCGCGAGGCCCAGGAAGTCGCTGCGAGCCCGTCTTGCTGGTAAAGCGCGCGCTGCCCGGCCCCCCGCTCGCGCTGCAGCAGGAAAAATCACGACGGGAGGCTTTGTTTCACTGTTTGTTCTGCCTCCAGCGGCCCCTATACTGCGCCCGGGGGCCTTTGGGAGTCGCTGCAAGCCCGTCTTGATGGTGAGGCGCGAGGTGCCCGGCCCCCCTCTCGCGCTGCAGCAAGAAAAATCACGACGGGAGGCTTTGTTTCACTGTTCCCTCGGCCTCCAGCGGCCCCTATACTGCGCCCAGGGGCCTTTGGGGATCGCTGCAGGCCCGTCTTGATGGTGAGTCGCGGTACCCGGCCCCTCTCGCGTTGCAACAAAAAATCACGACGGGAGGCCTTTCGCTGTTTTCGGCCTCCGGCGGCCCTTGCTGCGCCCGGGGGCCGTCCAGAAACGGCCCAGGATGAGAAAGCGGTCCCGGGGAAGGGGTCCAGACCTTTGGGGGAGTCGCTGCAAGCCCGTCTTGATAGTTATTGTTTGGTTGACCCAAAAGGGGGTCCAGCTGAAAGGGGGATGGTGCAATAGATGTGGGGCAATAGGAATGCCAATGTATTGCGCCAGAGAGTTGTACTGCAACGAATGTATTGCACACGAAAATCCAGCAATATATTTGCGCACCAGAATGTAACGCACGCCCCGAATCTTCTGCAATCCCACAAACCTATTGCACCAAATCCATTGCACCACCTCCTTTCAACTGGACCCCCATTTGGGTCAACCAGATATTCGCGATAACGCCAGTGACCGGCCCGGGTACCCCCCAATCCGACGCTCCGAAGACATTGGACCCTGAGATCCTGGCGTTGCATTCTTCGAGCCAGGATTTTCCGCTCACTTTCGGGCCCCAAGACCCTCACATATCGATCCGGCTCGAAAAAAGACACGCAGAAAGATGGGGTCCGGGGCTCTGGTCGTGATATTTTGCGGTCTTGCAATTTTTTCGCAACGTCGGATCTCAGGGGAGCGGCCAGTTTTCGGCTATCTTCGGCCTCCAAGGGCCCTCAACGGGCCCCGGGATCCTCACAAAACTATTCAGGATGAGAAGCCGGGGAAGAGGTCCAGACCTCCGGGGGTCCACGCATCGGAAAAAGTAGGGTGCGGGATGTCTGGGCCTGGTCATCACGATTCGCGCCAGAGCCGTCTGGGAATGAGCCGTTCCTAGGCGTTCCTAGAGGCGGCGCCAGCGTGAATCGCGATGTGACAGGCTCCCTCCCCACCTACTGCTGGGGTCTCTCTGACTCTTCAGTTGGCTCCCTCCTCCCCTCAGCACCCGCGCGCCGCGGTGCACTCGGCCCTGGCGCGGCAAGCTTGAGGTGTGGGCCAACGGAAAACAGTAGAAACAGGTGAGGGAGGCAGGGGACCAACCCCCCGGTCAAGCCCGTTCTCGCCACGGGATTGAAAAAAAGCTCTCCTGAGGCGCTGGTAGGCGGACTTCCAGACGAGGTAGTGGTTGATCCACCCGGGGAACTGCCCGAAGGGCCCGATGAGGCTGCTCACGAGGCTGATCAGCGGCAGAGCCGTGGACGCCTTCATTTGCTGTTGTTTCTCTTGTGATGCTGCTGCTTGTTGTGCTGTGTGTTGGTCTCGTCTGTTTTCCCTCGCGCTTTCAGGCCTTCATCTGGCCGCCATCGACGGTCACGAAGTACGCGAGGGTGACAAGGGTGACAATCACCGAGAGGCTGTAGTCCAGGGCCGAGCTCATCTTCTGCAGCCAGAGCCGAGTCCTCTGCAGCCGGAGCTCCTCCCGCCGCGCCTGCATGATGCGGTCCTCGAACGGCGGCACCCAGGTGAGCATCTGCAGCGTGCGGATGTTTGTGAAGCCCTCGTTGCAGCGCCCGAGCCTCTGGTCCTTGGCGTGCAGCTGGCGGTGCCGGTAGAAGCCGTCGAAGAAGAGGAGCAGCCCACTCACGAGCTTCGCGACGATCACCACGCAGATCCCAGGGACCACCGCCCAGCCCACCTGGCTGAAGATGACGGAGACGGTGGACACGAACTGGAAGGGGAAGAGCCACATGCCCAGGATCACCCACAGGATGCTAACGTTGGGTCCCACGTCAAAGGAGATGACGTTGTACACAGTAGGAGTGTCGGTCCCTCCCTTCGCCGTAGCACTCCCGGCCGCACCCGGCGAGCTGCCCTGCACGGAGCGCTTGATCACGGCGCCCCGGAGCGCCCCAGCGATGCGAAGATCCAGGCGGTTCTGGAAGAACTCCACCTGAGAGACGAAAAGAAACGATTCTTACGCGAGATGGCACAGTGACCCTACGCCGCGGCTTACGCGGTCTGCCAGCGTGGCGCGCCGCTTTGGAAACGAGGGCGCTCACGCGCGTCCTTACGTACGCGGGCACCTTGCGCGCCAATGCCGGTGAAGCCGACCCCGTTCTTTGGCATCGCTCACCTGCGAGTTCCACACGATGTGGAACAGCCCGAGCATCACCAGCGCAACGACACAGTTCAGGCCCCACCGCACGTCAGCGGTGGACATCTCCTTTCCGGAGTTCTGAGACTCCTGGAAGATTAAGACCTGCTTCATCAGCAGCGGGTTCACGAGGCCATAGCAGTGACCGAGCATCTTCAGCCCCTCAAAGACTGCGAGCGGCCTCCAGAAGGAAGCGACGATGCTGCGCAGCAGCGGGTGAGCGTGCCTGGCTCTCTCTGCCTCCTCCAGGCAGCCCAGGAGCAGGTGGGAGTTCTGCACCGTGTCCTCCAACGCAGAAAGCCTGGGGGCATCGGTCTGGTCGATCTGCTCGAACCTGCCCTTTGTGACCACAGGTGTGATGTAGCCGAAGGTGAAGTACCTCTCCGTATCATGCTCATGCCACTGCGCCCAGTCATGCTGCGCCTGCTGCTGCTCGCGCTCTCGATCCTTCTGCATACGATCCAGATCTGTTCTTAACCATCATCATATCCATCTTCTCTTCTATGTCTTAGTCTGATGTCTAGCATTGCTAATGTAGTACTGTTCGCACAGTAGTGTCAATCCAAAAACCGAAATCAAATGACAATTGGTTGGTTGGCCGCCCCCTCCGTCTCGGAAAGGCTCGAATAGCGGCCCCCTCCATCACGGAAGGGCTCGTTTTGGGAGTTCTTCTGCCGCGGAAGCATAACGGGGCGTATACTGACAACGAAGAGGATGAGCGAAGATGGTGGAGCAGGACGGAAGCTGGATCAAGAAACAGCATTACAGAGCAGGAGCGATGCTAGTTCGAGAAGCAGGCGGAGGAGGAGGAGGAGGAGGAGGAGGAGGAGGAGGAGGAGGATGGCAAGTCCTTCCCTCAGAGGGGGGCGAAACTGTAACCTTGCTTCGGGGCCTCTGGATTATCGTTGCCCCCCTCCTCCGTCGAGGCTCTCGGCTGGCCCTGGGGCGCGTCGGGCCCGAGATCTCGAGCTGGCCATCGCTCGGACGTCCATTCCCTGTGTTTTTTTCGGTCTCGTGCGTGGTTTTGTCGCGAAATGATCAAGGATGCTCCTCGATGGTCCTCGCCGAAGGAAAAGTGCACACGTCCGAGCGATGCCAAGCGAGGTGGGCCCAGTCGCGGTTGCTGCGAGGGCCGCCCGGGCGCCATGTGCCCTGGCATTCTTCTTGCGCGATCGGGCAACGCAAAAGGGACAGGGGGGAGCGAGGCGGCCGGGGCGAGGACCAGGAGCTGGCCAGGGGAGGGAGTTGAAGGAAAAATAGCATGAACCTAACCTTTTGGCGCTCCGCGCGGATTTCTTGGATCTGCGCTGGGCCCCCCTTCCCTGGCGCGCGGATCGCGCCAGGGGCGGCGCCGGAGGCGCCGCCGGGGAGGGGGCCCAGCGCGGATCCAAGAAATCCGCGCGGAGCGCCAAACATTTATGGCGTTCGTGTCTTCTTCCAGGGTGGGGCAGGCCACGAACGAGCGAGCGACGAACATGGAGGGCACCAGGGCCACGGGGAAGGGGGGGGGAGGCCAAGAAGGAGCGAGCGAGGGGGCCGGGACAAGGGCCAGGAGTAGGCCAGGAGAGGAGGGGGGGGGGGGGGGCGGGCCACGAGCGAGCGAACGAGCGACGAAAAGAACAGAGGTCCGAGCTCTGGAGCACAGCTGGGCAGAATAATAACGTAGCGTGAGGCGGGGCTGTGGGCAGCCCCGCCCGGGGCGCGGGCGCGGCGGCGGCCCGCCCTGTGGAGGGACTTCGGGCAGGCCCCGAGGGCCCGCCGAGGCGCGTCGCGAGCCCGCCAGGCCCGCGGGCCAAAGAGTCCTCCTAGTCCTCCTCCTCCTCCTCCTCCTCCTCCTCCTCCTCCTCCTCCTCCTCCTCCTCCTCCTCCTCCTCCTCCTCATCCTTTTCCTCCGCCTTCTCCTCCTCCTCCTCCTCCTCTCCCTTCCCCCCCCCTCCTCCTCCACTCCTTTTCCCTCTAAATAACTTCTCCCTGTCGCACCCCGAGACCAGTTTTTAGGACGGGCTGGGAGTTTCACGATTTGACTCTGGAGCTTAAAAATTGGCAACAACTTCGCAGATGGAACGCGGGTCGTTCTCAAAATGTGGCTCTCGCCCTAGCGCGGCGCATATTCGTTCGAAGATGTGGTTTTCAAAATGTGGCTCTCGCCTAAGCGCGGCGCGCATCGTTTTACAAATTTACTAGAGCTTCACGGATTGAGGGCGGGTCGTTTTCAAAATGTGGTTTTCGCCTGAACGCGGCGCACATTCGTGTTCAAATTTTGCAGGAGCTTCACGGATTGAGGGCGGGTCGTTGTCAAAATGTGGCTCTCGCTTTCGCGCGGCGCACATTAAATTTGCAAGAGCTCCACGGATTAAAAACTGCGTTTTTTGCAACATGTGGCTCTCGCCGCAGCGCCGCGCGCATTCGTCTACGCGCCCAAAGGGCCCGAGCAAAGGGGAGGGGGGGCTAGGCTTAAGCTACCCCCCCCCCTCCGTGGAGCCGCCCTTGTTGGAAGCACCCCCCCCTCCCCCCCGTTTTTTTTGCAAGGGGGGGGGGGGCTTACTGCTACCCCCCCCTCCCCCCTTGGGCCCTCCCCGGAAGCTATACAATTACTCAATATGAATACTACTCTCCCTCTTCCCCTGATGACGGAATGGGAGTGGCCGCCCCCCCCCGCGTACTGTTTTTTTACACACAGGTTTCCCCGGAGTTGGGTTTTCGCCTGCATGTTTTTCCCAAATGCTGCTCTCGCTGAGGCGCCGGCCTCATGTTCGGGCCCCGCTCGTTCCGAATCGTGCTCCCGCTGCAGCGTGGGTCTCATTTTCGGATCGGTGTTTTGCCTCCATCGTTCAGGATGGCGTTCTCGCCCCAGCGCGGGCCTCTTTCTCGCGCGCCCATCCGCCCGCCACCACCGCACCGCGCCCCGCCCCGCCCACCGCCACTTCCACCCACCAACGCACGCACGCACGCACGCACGCGCACCGCCACCACCACCCCACTACCCCACCCACCACCACCACGCTACACCGCGTCACACCACATCACACGCGCGCGCACACAGACACGCACGCACGCACGCACGCACGCACGCACGCACGCACACGCACACACACACACACACAAACACACACACACACACACACACACACGCACACACACACACACACACACACACACAACACACGCACACACACACACACCACCACCACCACCACACCGCCACCACCACCACCGCCATCACGCACGCACGCACCTGGCCCACCACCAAACCACCAAGACGCCACACCACGTCACACCACAGCACACGCGCACACACGCACACACACACACACACCACCACCACCACCACCACCACCACCACACCACCACCACCACCACCACCACCACCACCACCACCACCACAACCACAACCATGACCACAACCACGCACACACGCACGCACGCACGCGCACCACCACCCACTACGCACGTGCGCGCAGACCACAGGTCCGCTACGACACGCGTCCGCGGATCGAAAAAATCAGCGCCATGGTAAGGGATAGGAGGGAGGGGTAGGACGTCAGATATGACGCGAGCGCACATAGTTTGCCACCCCCCTCCCCCCCTTTTCCAAAGGGGGGGGGGTGCTTAAGCTACCCCCCCCTCCCTTGGCGCCGCCCTGCTGGAAGCTACCCCCCCCCTCCCCCCCTTTCGTGCAAAGGGGGGGGGGTGCTTGGAAGCTACCCACCCACCCACCCCCTTTGGCCGCCCCGGAAGCTACCCCCCCGTACCCCCCTTTCCAAAGGGAGGGGGGTGCTTAAGCTACCGCCCCCCTCCCTTGGAGCCGCCCTGCTGGAAGCTCCCACCCCCCTCCCCCCCTTTGTGCCAAAGGGGGGGGGGGCTTGGAAGCTTGCCCCCCCCCCTTGCCCCCTTTGGCCGCCCAGCCCCCGGAGCCTCCGCCCTCCCTTTCGCCGACGATCCAAAATGAACAATCCACGATCGAGGATGGACGATCGACGATCAACGATCGAAAATCCCAATCGAATCGCTTGCAATCGATTGCACTCCATTCCACTGCAATCCCCCTCCCCACCTCCCTCCGCTCCCTCCCCTCCCTCCCCACCCTTCGTTCCATCTCCTCCCTCCCCTCCCTCTCCTCCCCTCCCTCCCTTCCGTCCTGTCCCTCCCCTGCAATCCAATCGATTGAATCGATTGCAATTCAACCGATTGCAATCCAATCGATTGCAATCCAATGGATTGCAATCGAATCGGTTGCAATCCAATGGATTGCAATCGATTGCAACGCAACTGTATCATTCAACTCGTCCCGTGCCAACGCCCAGGAAAGAAAAACAGACTATTATGCTATACTCGTGTCATGGGCAAGTCAGGAATCCACAATATACAATCCTGGAGGAACACAAAAATACAATTCTACTCTACTCCTCCCTTTGCGACGCCCTCCCCTCGCTCCTCTTCCTACCCTCCGCACCCTCCGCCGCCTCCATATCCTCTCCTCCTTCCCCTCCCTCACCTCCCTCCTCCCTCCCTCCATCCCCTCCACTCCCCTCACTCCGCCCCCTCCGCTCCCTCTCCCTCCATCCCCTCCCTCCTCTCTGTCCCCTCCCTCCCCTCCATCCTCTCACTCCCCTCCCTCCCCTCCACCCCTCCCCCCTCCTGTCCCTCCCCTGCATTCCAATCGATTGTAATCAAATCGATTGCAATTCAACCGTCAACAATAATAACTCAAAAATCAACCAACAATGAAACACACACCAGGCCTACCAAAATTCAACGAACGTCAAACGTCAACGAAAACCTACAAACAAACTCAAACGTCTTCAAAAACAACAAGAAACATACAAAATTCAAACATCAACGAAAACCAACATAATACACAGAGAAACCATACACAAAAATCAAGTTAAAGGTTTCAGACATCAAGCGCCAAAAAAATCCACAAAAATCCAGACGTCGACATGCGTCAACAAAAAAACAATCGAAAGTCGACACAATTTGGAAACTTCTCGGAACGTTCCTCAGACTCGCACTTCCTCCTCATCTCCCGACCTCCTCCTTCCTCCTCCTCCTCACTCCTCCGCCCTCCTCCACAATCCCACCAGCCCTTTAGGGCGTGAAAGATTTAGCTCGCCCATACTCCCCTCTTCCAACCCCCTTCTTCCCCTTCGGGTGGGGTCATCACTGTTCCCCATTAATAAACACCCCACCCCCCAGACGACTGGGGGCCAACCCGGGCCCATGACGACCCCCCCCACACCACAACCATCCCTTGCACAAAAAAAACAATGCAAAACGCACTCTGCCTCCAAATTCGGAACATGCGCGGCCAACCCGATGCGCCCCCCCCCCCCCACCACACACCACCATCCCTGTCAAAAATAATACAAAGTACACGTG